GAAGAGCACAATGATAATACCAACATGGGCCAGTGAAGCAACGTCCTCCACAACTAGACTGAAGAACAAAAGGACAACAACTTGTCTGTTCCCCTCCCCCAATTCCCCAATAAAACCTTAAAAAAAAAAGAAAAAAAATCTTAGTCATGGAGGGTGCAGCTAGCTCAGCTCCAAGTCCAGTCACCATTCGGCTGCCCTTTGGCAGCTCAGGGCAGCTCAGCTCAAGGTGCCGTGTTCAATCTTAGTTGCAGGTGAGCATAGCCCACCATCCTACATCGGAGTTGAACTGGCAACCTCATTCTTAGGAGCACATGCTCTCACCAGCTGAGCCATCCTGCCACCTGTTGGCAGCTCAGCGGCAGCTCAGCTCAGGTGCAGCTCACTGGCCCATGTGAGAATCGAACCGGCGACCCTGTTGCTCAGAGCTCGTGCTCTTAACCAACTGAGCCACTCAGCTGACCCTCTTTAACCCTTTTCTTAAATGAAATCTTATAAATTAGAAAAAAGTAAAGAGACATAAATTGTGGTTAAGAATATAAGTATGAAACTAAAATTACTCAGAATTCTGCAGCTCACTGAGTAATAGAGTTTGAAACACAACTAATCTGAACCATGCTATTTGGCCAACTCCATAGTATTACATAAGAGTAAAATCTATATACAGGTAACCCTGGGGTTCCTGACATTCAACTTTATTATCTACTTCTTGTCATCACTCTTATATGACAGCTTCTCAGTTTATTGTCTTTCCACTAACAGTTAAGTTAAAATGGATTTCTGTGTAATAAATAAGAATATAGACACAGTATTTGTTGTCCCAGTCTAAACTGCATGTTTTTATAGTGAGGTAACTCTGGCTATCAAAACATAAGCAAATTTTTAAAAAGCTTCTGCAAGTAGTACAAGGTGAATCAACAATGGCCAACTGAATCAAAACCATTGTGTTTAAAAGTCAACTTCATTGTTTAAACACTGAGGTCTTTCTATGTCATATTATGTAAAATTCCTTAAGATAGACTCGGCCAACCATAAATCAAAAGGAATATTTTATTTTATCATTATGGCATTAGAAATGCAAACAACTAATGATAAAAATAGAGTATGTATATCAATGTGTAAGTTGTATATAATAAGCATATAAAATATGTATACAACAAATGTTATAAACACCATGGGTTGAATTTCTATGAACAGATTTATTTTACACCATATTTTCATTTTGAACTCTGCTTCTATGCAAGAAAACCACTAAGAATCTGTATGAAGATGACTTCAGGCATACAGTTTCTACAGACAGGCTGAGGGCTTGCTCACAGGAAACTGGGAATGTTCTATGTAGCTTGATAAAATCGAGATGGCTGAAGCTTGCCAATTCAGTCATCGGTCAAAACCACAGACACTCCATTTTTCAACAATTTCAGACGCTGTACAAACACTGGTGAAAAGAGAACCAGCTAAAAAAATGGGCTATGCAAACTGAAACTTTTTAAAGTGTTTCAAATTTCAATTTCTTCCATGTTTATACATTGTGAATTTTCATGCCCCATCTCTAATTGTGTTGATATACATTTCCTGGAACAGTGTCCTGAATACCCACATGACCATAAGTCATATACTTTAGGTGTTTCAACACCTTGTCTTTTTATAAGTTTACAGTGATAACAAGAACTGCCATGTAAAGGATAAAGTCGTCTGCTTGCTAATAATCAGTCAAGAAAAAGAGTAAGAAATACTGTGATCATACATGCCATTTGACTGCTGTTATAAAAGTCAAACTGAGGTTCCCAGAGAACCAAGAAAATGTCCAGTGTGGTTTGAGCATATGAGTGAAGTCAAAGAAGTAGGGACTTCATCAAGTAGGGCCTTACAGACTTTGACCAAGAGTTTGGATTTTATTCCCCATGCAACGAAAATCACTGCAGGGACTTTAAAAAGGGAAATGACATAATAAATTTACATTTTTTTTCTCAAGTTTATTGGGGGAACAGGCATGGTCATTGGTTACACATTGCTTTCATGCTACAATGGCATAGTTGACTGTTTTAGGGAGGGTGCAGCTCACAGTGGCATATGCAGGGATTGAACCAGCAACCTTGGTGTTATCAGCACCACACTCTAACCAACTGAGTTAACCAGTCACCCCCCCTACAGTTACATTTTAAAAAGGTCACTTTATCTGCTGTGTAGAGAATGGGGGTGGGAGTTTGGAGGGGGGACAAGACTGGAAACAAAAGGCACAATTTAGGAGGTTAATGAAGACATCCAGGTGAGAGAGAATAATGGATTGGACTAGGATGGCAGCCATGAAACACAGGACACGTTGCTAGGTATGAGATAGCTTTAAGAAGACTATAAAATGAAAGGAATTAATATTATCTATCTCATACTGTTGTGAAGAAAAAATGGCCCATAATAAATGGTGTTAGCTATTATTACCATCATTAATGGGCTTTCCAAAAGGGAAGAATCAGATATAATTGGTTTTAACATAAATGAAAAATCATCAATATTAAAATCATCTTTGAAAACCTATGGGAGTTCCTCTGGCAATGCAAATGAGTAAGAAAAGTATAGTAGAACTAGAAATTACTATAAGGATCTATTATAAAAATAGGTTGGGACACCAGAGAGGTATGGGAATGAGTAGAAGGTTAGGAGTGGAGAAACAAATGGCCTTCAAATGAGAGAGAGGTTAGAAAAGGTTTCAAGGTAGGGGAGACTTTGCCATGAGGGAAAAATAATGTATCAAAAAGCAGTCTGGGAGACAATTTTTAATACTAGAGGAAATTTCAGCTAAGTTGACTGAATATATTGATTTCAGATTATATCTGCTAGATGGAAGTACACTGCTATACTTGCTAGACATATACAACTTATGGTCTGGCATTTACACTATGACAATAATAAACATTTAAGTAGTAAATCTTCAGACTCATTTCTCTAACATGCACCCATAGACTTAGCCACACTGAAGTTGATAATTGTCCCAATATTTTCATCAGTACCAGATGACACCTATACCAGACTGAAAATTATTTTCCCCTGGCTTCCCCGAAGGAACCTATGGCCTTTTATCATGGCAACTGCGCATCAGGGAAAAAGGAAATATTAGACCTACCGGGGACTTCTGGACTCTAACTGACACTAATTCCAAAAGACCCAAAATGTCACTGGGGCCATCAGACAAAGTAGGAGACTTATGGAAGTCAAGTTAACAATTGAGTTTTTGCACAAAGCTGTCTCATAGTGGGCTCAGTGGGTCCCAAACCCATCCTGTGGTTATTTACCCAGTTCTGGAATGCATCATTAGAATAGATATACTTAGCAGTTGGCAGAATCCCCATATTGGTTCCCTGACATGTGGAGTGAAGGCTATTATGGTGGGAAAGACCAAGCAGAAGTTATTATAACTGCCTTTCCTGAGAAAACAGTAAACCCAAAGCTGTAATGCATTCCCGGAGTGACTGCACAGATTAGTGCCATCATGGAGGACTTGAAATACACAGGGGTGGTGATTTCCATCACATCCCCACTCAGCTAGCCTATTCAGCCTGTGCAGAAGACAAATGTATCTTAAAGATTCACAGTGGAGTATTCAGGTGCTATACCAGATGTGGTTTCATTGCTTGAGCAAAGTAACACATCCTCTAGTACCTGGTATGTAGCTATTGATCTGACAAATACTTTTATCTCCATACCTGTCAAAAAGGCCCACCAGAAGCATTTTGCATAAGTAGGCAAGGCCAACAATACACTTTCACTGTCCTACCTCAGGGGTTTATCAACTCTCCAGCCCTATGTCATAATTTAGTTCACAGGGATCGTGATTGCCTTTCCCTTCAACAAGATACCACTTTGGTCCACTACATCGATAACATTATGCTGTCTGAACCTATTGAGTAAGAAGTAGCAACTACTCTAGACTTAAAAAAATTTTATGTCAGTGGGTGGGAAACAAATCCAACAAAAAGTTGAAGCCTTCTAACTCAGTGAAACTGCTAGGGCTCAAGATATTACTCTGGTCCTTTATATTGATAACCTTATGCTGATTAAACCTACTGAGTAAGAACTAGCAACTTCTCTAGACTTAAACTTCTGTATCAAGGTGGCAGGGAAGGAGGTTATGCATGGAGTCAGCAACATGGACCTCCACTCACTGAAGTCCACCTGGCTATGGCCATTGCTGAGTGCCCGATGTGCCAGCAGGAGAGACCAACACTGATGTGGCTCCATTTACCCAGGGTGGTCTGCCAGCTATCTGATGACAGGTTGATTACAGCAGACTGCTTCAATTATGGAAGGGGCAGTGTTTTGTTCTTAATGGAATATACATTCTGGATTCAGATCTGCCTTCCCTACACTCAATGCTTTTCTGCCAAAACTATCATCCGTGGACTTAAAGGACACCTTATCCACCATCATGGCATGCCATACAGCATTGCTTCTAATCAAGAAACTCATTTCACAGTAAATGGAATGAGAGAATGAGGCAATGGGCTAGTGCTCGTGGGATTCATTGGTCTTACCGCAGAACAGTGAAATGGCCTTTGGAAGATGCAGTTATAGCGCCAAAACTACATGGCAATACCTTGCAAGGCTGGGGCAAGGTTCTCCAGAAAGCTGTGTCTGCTCTGAATCGGTGGCCAATCAATACATAATGTTATTTTTCCCACAGCCAGGACTCATGGGTCCAGGAGGTGGTACCACTATTATTCTCTTAGTGACCCACTAGCAAAACTTTGCTTCCTGTTCCTATGACCTTATGCTCTGCTGACATAGTGGTCTTAGTTACAAAGGAAGGAATCCTTCTACTGGGACACACAACAATGATGCCACTGAAGACTCCTTCCCAGCCATTTTGCGCTCCTCATGTCTCTGGGACAACAGGCACAGAAGGGCATTTTGGTGCTGGCTAGTGATTTATCCTGACTACCAAGGGGAAACTGGCCTACTACTCCGTAATGGAGGTAAGGAAAAGTATGTGTAGAATACAGGAGATCTCTTAGTATTAGCAGGCCCTGTGATTAAGATCAATGGAAAATTATAAGCCAACCCAGGCAGGACTACTAATGGCCTAGATAGACCCTTCAAGAACGAAGGTTTGGTCATTCCAGCAGATAAAGAACCACAACCAACAGAAGTGCTTGCTAAAGGCAAAGGGAATACAAAATAGGTTGGAAGGAAAGTAGTGATAAATACCAGCTATGATGATGTGATCAGTTACAAAAATGAGGAGTAATTGTCATGAGTATCTCCTCTTCTTTTTGTTATGTGTGTTTGTGTGTGTATAGCAAGTCTTTGTTTTTTTCCTGCTTTTATTCCCTTATCATGTAACATTAGATGTATTGACTTTATATCATTGTATTTAAGTGTTCTTAATTTTACATCATAGTATTTAATTTACAGGATATCGAGAAGAATAAACACCACTCAAGCACATTACCTCCTCTTCTGAGAAAGCGATTAGTGAGTTTTTGTTTCTTCTCAGGGTAGCTGTATCACTTTAGGTGAAATTGTGTTGTGACTTTGTTATTGTCTTTATTTGGAGATTTAGTATGGTTTAAGGCTGTGTTATGAATGCTTAGTTGATCTACCATGGTTAATTTTACATATCAACTTGACTGGGCTACAGGGTGCTCATATATTTGGTCCAACATTATTCTAGGTGTGTCTGTGAGGGTGTTTTCAGATGAGATTAACATTTGAATCAGTTGACTGAGAAAAGCGGACTGACCTCCCTAATGTGAGTGGGCCTCATCCAAACATCTGAAGACCTGAACAGAACACAAAGGCAGACCCTCCTGCAAGTAAGAAGAAACTCCACCTGTCTGACTACTTTAAACTTGGTTCCTGTCTTCGGACTTGAACTGAAACATCAACTCTTCTTGAGTATCAAGTTTCTCTGCTTTCAGAACAAAACTTACATACTATTGGCAATCCTGGTTCTCAGGCCTTCAGACTTATCCTGAAACTACACTATTAGCTCTCCTGGGTTTCCAGTTTGCTTGATCTTGGGACTTCCCAGGCTCCATAATCATATGAGCCAATTATTTATAAAAAATCTCAATCTCAACCCCCGTTCATTCCCTCTCTATATTCACAGACACACACATACATCTTATTGGTTCTGTTTCTCTGTAGAACACTAACACTCTCCATCTACCTAATACCAACTAGGCTATTAAAACCTACTACAAGTATCAACCTCTACTGTGAACTCATCCCTAATGCCCTAAGCTAGGTTACATGTGTCTCATTTGTGCTTCCATAATATTTGCAAACAATACTTGTGTCATAATACTTAATCACTGATTTCTATACCTGCTCTAAGGAATATAGACTCCTTGATGGCAGTAACACAGCTAATTTGACTTCATATCACCAATACTGAACACAAACCCAGGCATACAGTAGGTTCTGAGTAAATACATATTAAACCATGAAGAAAACCTTCCTGTGTGAGGTTAGATAATACTCAATTCAGAAAAAATTACTGCTAGAGAATAAGACCATATTGTTGCTGTCAATGAAGTATTCCGGCATGAAGCTGGAATACAGGACTGCTTTATTTTCAGAGCAGAAATTCTCTCATCTCATCCTTCAGGGGACAAATCAAGCCTGGGCCATGGTTATGCTTCCCATTTGCAAACAAGCGATTAAGAACCCATTTCTATTTGCAATTACTTAGCTATATAAATCAGGATTATCTCCAAAACAAAATACAGAAATAATTGGATACTGAGACTACAACTGTCAACAAAAACCCCCAATTATGAAATTCTGTGTTCAGAAAAATGGCTTCATGATTCTGTTAAATGGCTCCTGTTTTATTTTAGCTTCAAAAATACATTCATTGATAAAATGACATTACTGTCTATTTTAAGTTGGGTCCATGTTTAAGTTTTGATTTAAAAAAAAAGACTTGTGCTGCTAAACAAGATTTGAAAACTCCTAGTATTAAAAAACAAACAAACAAACAAACCACTTTAGTTTTATAGCTAGACAGACTTAACTTTGAAACTTATTTCTGTCACTTAATAGTTCTGAGTTTTTAGGCAAATTACATAATGTCTTGGAGACTCAGTTTTTCTTCTTGTCAAATTCAGACAGTGTTGGTAAGTACTGTGATTATTAGGAGAGTACAATAAGATAACATACTTAAAACCCTTAGTATGGTTCCTGGCATAGAGTAAGCAATGAATATCCGACCTATTAGTATCACAAATACCTCATCATGTGCAATGATTAGAAAATGAGGGCCAGGGAAGATGAGTGATTGTGGGAGACTATCATAATTTCAGAAAATTTCCATATATAGAAAAAGCAGCTTGAGGATTTTAAATTCTAGGAGCTATAACACCTATGGATTTAGGTTTCAAAATATCTCAGTCTAAAGCAAATGGTAGAACATATGAATCATAAATAATATACCAACTAGAAAAAGTAACTCAGGGATATGAAAAAACAGGTTCTAAAGATTTCATGATTATTATCACCATCACCAACAAACCCATTGTTAAGCATATCTAAATAAAGATTTCCTATTAAAATTTAAGGCATGATATTACTATAAATGCTATAAGGAATAATTTTTCTGGTAGCATTCAATTAATGTTCTAAGTTTGTTGAAACTTCATTTCTTGATTTGAATTTTTATTTAAAAATATATTAATCAGGTTCGGTTACTTAAACCTATATGAAATAATGAAATGACAGTAAAAGCATATGATACAGCTCATCAAATACCATGTGACAAATTGAACATGAATATTAAAACAAGTTGATACCTGCTTAGAAAGCACTTTCATATGCCCTACGCTTCCCCGGCAATACGCTTCAAGGATGACACCAAATTGTATGGAAACAGCGGGAATGTGCACTTCTGACCTGCAGAAAGTTAATAATATTATGTTTTGTCAGACACTTCAGATCACCAAATAAAAGTACTGACTTCTTTATTCTATTATAAAATTGACTTATGATGCCAACTAAAGAAAGGAAGAAGACATCCTCTTGTGAAAAATTTTTAATGGTATTGTCAACTTTCCAACTTTTTAAACATATTTCAAAAAGATAAGAGATTTCATAATTAGTTAATTCTTTATTCCAAGAAAACCAAAATTTTCACATCTCACCTTATTGTTTGGGGTAAAACGGTAACATTACCAATTTAAAGACAATTAAGACAAAACACAAAGATCTGACTCATTTCACACAACTGATTAATCCCTCAATTAGCTTCTATTCAGTTTTTTCTCAAAGAATGATGTGCACACCTGAAACTAATTTCTTTTAAAAAATGATGTGCTCATTTGAAAAACAAAAGAATACATTATTTTGTTATTCCTTGAAAGGTATAAAATAAGAAGACTGAACTGGGTGAGAAAAGAATACAAGTTAAAAATAAGAAAGGACGGCTGAGTGGCTCAGTTGGTTAACAGCGCCAGCTCTGAGCAACAACAGGGTCACCGGTTCGATTCCCCCATGAGCCAGTGAGCTGCGCCTGAGCTGAACTGCCAACAGGGTGGCAGGATGGTGAGAACACATGTTTCTAACAACAAAGTTGCTGGTTGGACTCCCACATGGGATGGTGGGCTATGCCCACCTGCAACTAACATTGAACACGGCACCTTGAGCTGAGCAGCCGAGGGCTGCTGTCAGGTGGCCAGATAGCGACTAGACTTGGAGCTGAGCTAGTTGCACCCTCCACAACTAAGAATGAAGGACAAGGACTTGGCTGTTTCCCTCACCCAATTCCCCAACACTATTCCCCTTCCCCAATTCCCCAATAAAATCTTTAAAAAATAAAAATAACGAAGGAAAAAAACTCTTAATAATAATGAAGTCAAGATCCAGAAAGATAACCCATAACATAGAAAATATTATAGAGCTTATTTTCCTTAAGAAGCTTAGCTTTAAAGGAAAGTTATTTTTTTCCTGATAATCATTACTTTCAATATTCTGAAGTCTAGATGGAAAAAGCAAAAATGTCTCAGTAGAAAGTCAGAAATGAGGAATCAAAAATTTTCATAGGAAACTAAAAAACTTTTAGTTCTCGTTCCTGATTTTATGCTTATATAAATTTGGTGAAACAGGTTCATATAATTCTGAAAATGAAATAATAAAGAAATTGAAAATAAAGCTACTGTTGTTACAGGAAAACTTTAAAATCTTTACCCACTAGTAGCGATAACATAATATTACTACCCACAGCATTTTCGAAGCAATAAGTAAATCTGGTTTTCAGTCTAAATATATTAACACATTTAGTCTAAATATATACACTTTACAGGAAAACAGCAATACACTAATTATTAGTTTCAGTTAAAAATCAAGAAGGCATGGAGGGATACTTGTCTGAATTGAAAATTAAGGGTTTGGGTATCAAGAAATAGAAGACACCAAGAGAGTATCAATGTTATGGATTGGCTCAGAAACAACTAAAGCAGCTCACTGTTTTGCTAAATGTCCTGTATTACACTGGTCTATATTTACAAAAGTAATAAGGTAGTTTCAAACTGCAATATAAAACACTTACCTAAGGTGCCAAAATAGAAATTGCCCTATCCTCCGATTAGCAAGTGCTCTTTCTAATAGGAATCTAGAGAGGGCACAATCAAGAAAAGGCTCATATTTTAAAACTTGCACCAGTTGTAAAAGATATTGAGAGAGTTCTTCATCACTGAAAAAAAATAAAAGACACAGTAAGTCACGCAACACCCCATGCCAGAAAAAGATCCCTTCCTATCAAACTATCAAATACTAACTTATTGAAACAAAATGGTTCTTTCGGGTCAGGCTTGCTTCATGCTTAGAGACACTGTTTCATTATTACAATAACATACAAAAAGCTCATGATTTCAGATGGGCTGAAGGGAGAGTGGAAGGGAGCAAAGAACAGGTACATGGGGTATCTTTATTAAATTAACTAGGTTGCTACAATTGATAATTATATTTACAATTAGCCCAGAGTTACAATAAAATTAGGTACTGACTAATTATGCTGAAAGTTACATACTTAACCAATCAATTTTTTTTAAAATAAAAATTCTACTAGTATGCCAGCAATTTATTTTCCTTTCCTACTATTAGGGTTAAGATAACCCTTCTCCCAGATAGCCAATGAATAATCAAAATCTTAAATGCAAATAGTTTGAAAGACATGGAAATGAGTGTATCTGTAAGTGGGAATTGATGCACTAATTAATATAACATAATATTGTAATTAACTGAGCTGAATTAATTAAGGTTAGTGGTTCTATATTTTGTGTCCATCTCCAAACCATTCACATATAAACACATTCCCATCAGAGGCAATTCCAGTAGCTGGGTCAGATAAGAATCCCAAGTCTACTCTCATTGGACAATAAATGGTTAAGAATGTAGTCTAAGGCAGATCTGGCACTGAAGCCTAAGGTACTACATACCAAGAAAAAACCCTCACAACTAGACATTTTAACATAGGGAAATGCATCAGAATTACCTATATGGAACATGGAGATCACAGCCATCTCCTCCTAGGGATAAAAACATTTAAGAAAAATACCTAGGCCAGCCGAGTAGCTCAGTTGGTTAAGAACTCACTCAAGAGCACGAGCTCTTGGGGCCGGCTGAGTGGCTCAGTTGGTTAA